ATGGCAAGTTAATGTAAGTCCTCCGTCCCTTTACGAAGTTGAAAAAGCCATAGGAAATCTGAAACGAGGGAGAGCAGCAGGCCCTGACAGGTTTACTCCTGAGATTTTTAAGGATGGTGGTCCAGTATTAGCAGCAAGATTAACTGAGGTCTTAGGTAGAATTTGGGAACTGGACGTAATCCCATCTGACTGGTCTCAATCACTGATTGTGCCAGTTTTTAAGAAAGGACAAAAGTCCTCCTGTGACAATCACAGAGGAATCAGTTTGACTAATATAGTGTCTAAAATATTGGCCTCAATAATACTTCGACGCCTAACTAAAGCTCGTGAAGAGCAGACTAGAGAAAACCAGGCTGGTTTTCGACCTGGACGTGGTTGTATAGATCAGATATTCACACTACGTCAGGTTCTAGAACAGAGACACACATTCAGACGCCCCACAATGGTAGTATTTCTCGACCTTAAGGCGGCATTCGACTCCGTTGATCGTGAGGTTCTATGGCAGTGTTTGTCACTGAAAGGAGTACCAAAGAAGTACATTAACCTTATAAAGGCTCTCTACTCGAACACAACTGGTCGAGTGAGAGCTTATGGCGAACTGTCATCAGAATTGATCACCTCAAGTGGTGTTCGTCAGGGCTGTCCACTCTCCCCATTCTTGTTCAACTTTGTCATTGACGTACTTTTAGAGATAACACTCTCCTCATCTAAATTTACAGGGGTTGAACTTCTACCAGGAGGTTCACTTGTTGACTTAGAATATGCAGATGACATAGTTTTATTTGGTGAAGACGCTGACAAAATGCAGAGTCTTCTGACCACTCTAAGCAACAATGCAAGCATGTTCGGGATGCGATTCTCTCCCTCCAAATGCAAAATGTTGCTTCAGGATTGGGTTACATCGACACCCGAACTAGTGATAGGGAGTGAAGTAGTTGAGTGTGTCGACCGCTTCACTTATCTTGGAAGTCTCATCAGCCCTTGTGGTTTGGTGTGTGACGAAATCTCAGCACGGATACAGAAGGCTCGACTAGCTTTTGCCAACTTGCGTCATTTATGGCGTAGGCGAGATATCCGTCTATCAACCAAAGGACGTGTTTACTGCGCAGCAGTTCGTTCCGTCCTACTTTATGGCAGTGAAACATGGCCGGTAAGAGTAGAGGATATCCGTAGGTTACTAGTATTCGATCATAGGTGTCTTCGAAACATTGCTCGTATATCATGGGACCATCGAGTAAGTAACACAGTTGTTAGGAAACGGGTACTAGGTAAGGATGGCAAATCAATTGATGACGTAGTGAAACTTCATCAGTTGAGATGGCTGGGACTCGTGTTACGTATGCCCAACGACCGACTGCCTCGACGTGCTATGTTCAGTGGTATAGGAATAGGTTGGAAGAAAGCTAGGGGCGGCCAAACCAAAACATGGCACAAGTCCATGAAGTCACTGACAAGTGAACTGAGTCATGTTGGTAGGTGTAGACTACCTGGTTGGGGACCGCGAGATGACAGCAACCGATGGTTAGAGACCCTGAATGACATGGCTCAAAATCGTTCGCAATGGCGCAGGTGCATCCACTCTCTGTGTTCTCCCAAACTCTAATCTTCTGAATTCTTCATGTCCCTTTTTCCCTCTTTCCAAATTTCTTTCACTGGATTATACTCTTTAAATAACATCTCCAAACCCTAATCTTCCCGATTACTGCTTATACTCTTGCTACCTCTACCACTACGGGATTTGAATCGACCACTGCATCTCTGTGCTAATGTGGTGTGGCAACTCGAACTGATGTACGTACGTACGAAGTTCTACGTTGTTACTGACTGACTGACTGACTGAGAGTAGTTCGGTCGTAAAAAGAGAACATGTAACACGTCCCACCGAAAAGTATGGATGAGCACCGTCTGCATTTGCCTGACGCTATGAAAAATGGCGAATAGATTCGCTAGTGGCTTAGCTAAACGTCTCTCTTGTAAGCACAAAGCTTTTACAAGCTCCTTATAATTCATTGAGGCACGTCGGTCTACTCCAGCTAACAGCGAGTTTAACGACAGACAGACGTTCTTACGTACAGAAATTGCGTAAAGTTTGCGTAAAAACCGAGAAGCCTGGTGATCGGAGCACAATAAAGGATTAGAAGCAGCGGCTTCATCTGGCAATCACGAAGAGCTCTTCCAACTCATCCGAGACACTGATAGCAAGAAGTCTGGTGTGAGAGAAGCGATCTGTGATGCTGATAGGACACCGATCAATAGCATCCAACAACGTCCTAAATGATAGGCAGAGTTCTTCGAGGAACAGTCCAGCTGGTCTACTGGCTCGGAAATATCAATGAGACTGTCCTGTTCTCTAGAGTTGATGAAAACTTCCCCACCAAACGAAGCAGGAATCTGCAAGTAAATCCAACTCAATCCTAGATGACTTACAACTGGTCTTCTTTAAAGGAGGTGGCGAACCTCTTGTCAGAAGATTGACTGAGTTGCTTACAAAAGTTTGGGAATTAGTATCCAAATACCCTGGAATGAGAAAATAGTCGTCCCTATCTTTAAAAATGGTTCACGTTGCCTATGTAACAACCATCGGGGGACAAGTTTACTTTCGATTGCGTCCAAATCATTAGCTTCCGTCATACTTCGTGGACAGTTTGAAGCCCATGAAAGGCCGACTCGCGAGGAGGCTGGCTTTCGATTTTGTCGTAAATGTATTGATTACATCATCACCATCTGCCAAATATTAGAACAGCGCCATACCTAATGTAGGCCAACAATGGTTGTGCTTTTGATACTAGGGCTGCCTTTGATTCGCTAGACAGGACTTTTTTCTAGGATTGTCTATTGAAGGAGAGTGTACCTGAGAGGTTTATTCACATTCTGAAGGCCCGATATATAAGCACCTCAAGGCAGAGTGAAAACATACAACAATCTCTTTCCATTGTTTCGTCCAAGTAGTGGGGTTAGGTAGGGTTATCTAACCTTACTGTTTCTCTCCAACTTCGCTATTGATAGCGTTCTGGAAGCAACTCTGATGGATGTAAATAGTGGTGGTGTTGATCTGTTGCCTGAAGAAAGATTTTTCAACCTTGACTATGCGGATGATATTATCCTTCTGTGTGATAGTACTCAAGCTATAAGAGTCTCAGTTAATCAGTATTTGTGGGTACGGCATGAGCTTTTCACCTTCTAAGCTCCAAGAACTTTTATAAGACCAGCAGGACCCTGTGCCTGCGCTCACTCCTGATAATGAGCAGTTATAAGTAGTCGAGAGTTCTGTGTATCTGGATAGCTCTGCAGGTTCTGGGTGGTGGCGTGAATGGTGAAACCAATTTACGTAAAGTAAAAGTCAGAGCAGTCTGTGTCAATCTGGAACACCTCTGGCGCTTTCGTTGTGTTAGCATGGTTGTAGAAGGCCGAGTTTACAACGCTTCGGTGAGAGCAGTTTTGCTCCACGCTTGCGAAACATCTCCAATTTGAAGACGTCAAGCAACTCTATGTGTTCCACTATTGTTTTTTCCGAAATATTAAGGACATTCAGTGCCAACATCATGTAATTAATACGGGGGTGTAGCAACATGTGCTCGAACACTGGCGACAATTAAACTGGTGTCACCAGCTCGAAACATCAACCTCGATAGCTTGGCTGTGCTACGAATGCCATGCTACGGACTTCCACGTTACGCTTTATTTGCCGACACTGGGACTGGTTAGAAAAAGTGGAGACAGTCCGTTTATAAAATGATCCTGGGATACAAAGGAAAGTTGCACAGGGCTGGCATCTGTCGGTCATTCATGACTTTCAGGTTGGGATACAAGAGGTGTTGCAACTTAATGGCGTGGGATGTCATCAAATATGGCTTAGAATATAAGCCAATGTGGATCCTGCTGTAATTTTCTTTGACTATATTTCAAAAGTGAGAGAAACTTCCTTAACTGGAAGGATTCCTTGTGACTGTGCTTTTTACAACTGAAAAGTTTCGCCCACCATAAACTACACTTATCCACTTTTTTTTACTTATTTACTGTTTTTCATTACATTTACCTTCCTTTCTCTATTGCTTCACAATCTCATTTTCTTATTTTATGACATATTTATTATGGCATTTGTCTACTAATATTTGTGTTTAAATAAATAAATAACCTCAACGGAACTCAGTTGGTGGTTTTCGTATCAGAAAGTGATGGCCCTGATATGATAGGAGGTCATAATTCGAAGTTCTACACCGTGGGCTGACTTCGATTAAACAATACAGAAAAACTGGATGAAATGGACAGATGTTTAATTCTAGTATTGGGATCCTTAGTACTGAGAATCCACGACCCAACTAGGAGTCGAAACACAAAATTTAGATCTCGCAGCGAACAATCAATCGTTAGATCAATTCTAACTGTAAGCGGTATAAGATGATGAGCAACTTTCATCCATAGCCTTAGTGATACCTTTCTCACTCCTCACAATATGGGTTCTGACAAGGACTTCAGAAGTTCTCAAAGTCGCCAGTAAGTAAACGATTATTGTTAGGGTGGAGGGCTTATGGACATTATTCAATTTAGAGTTTACATGATAACTAGTATCTGGCCTCGATCCATGATGATACGGTTTCGATTAAGAAGAAAGGACTGTCCAATGCCCCCTAGTTTCCAATGGATCTCCATCTAATTCAAGTTTAGAATTTAAATTGTTTTCGAGCACATTTACCTTACTGACAACTCCAAATTTGTGTGCAAATACTTGGCTGCTAGTGAGTGCATCGAATTGCATTTCTGATCACGGAACATGTCAAAAATTTACGGCATATCTCATCCTGCATTCTTACTTATACGTTAGAAATCATCATCACGAAGTGAATATTTCAAAAAGTATGTTCTGTTACCCATTAATTAATAGATGAAGGGGCAATATACTAACGGATGCTGGAGAATTCAGCTCAGGTAATCAGTAAATATAGAATCCAAGCTTAATATATAAACAATGTACCAACAAAAAAAACACCACATAAACTTGCCGAGTTTGACTGTTTTTTGATGCATCAAAACCAGATGTGAAAAATTCAGCCTTACTACCGGCAGGTACAACTTTATTAGCGGCTGCAAACAAGCCATGATTTGGTTTACAAGTAAAATATCTATGCAGAAAAAAATTTAAAAGTATGACTTTACAAAACTACCGGATTTATTACATATTAATACATTTAAAATGAATAACAATATTGTTGCTGGATACAAAGTCTATATGACCGAAAAAATTACCTTCAATAGATAAATAAAAATACAGGATGACCGGGCTGTTATTAGCTTTAGTGATGAAAGACAAGCATATACTCACTTAATGTCTTAACTGAATAGAAAACAGGATCAAATTAAATAAATGTTAGTGAATCATACAGAGTGACAAAGCTTACCTAAAGCAACAACCCACTGGATAGATTATGTTAAGGCTGCTTGTAATGTGAAGCCGTAACATAATTATGGACATATTAAGTAAAAACTCACCTTCACAGTGATTAGTCAATAACTATCGGTTACTTAGGCACTATAGGCACAGAAATTCTCTTTGACATCAGTTTATTTTAACACCCTAGAAAGAAATGATCGCAAAGACAGTCTTTTAGCATCATGTTTCAAAATGTTTAGTGGAGGCCCAATTGCTCTTACTAAGTCCCAAATAAAAAGTCTCATTCATCAGTGGAATAGTGGCTAGAAAACTAAAACATTTTCGTCCTATCTAGTTCCGTTCGGGGAACCGAGTAGTATCAACAACACAATATATGTGACTTAAAGCCCAGTAAACAAACCTGAATCTGACAAATAAGTCACTTAATTGATACAGTAGAATCTTGCTAAAAAAGACTATTTTTAGTATTTTAGAATAAGCAATATCTACCTTTCGAATAGTGCAAATGACCTTAAACTAGAGATAGTCAATTCTGTCTTCTAACCGGAGCACAAGAACAGTATTCCATCAAAATATCAGTTGACTTAAAAGTTGCATAGAGCACTGGGTGCATATTTCTAGCAATGATCTACTGGTGTCAGATAAGTATATATATGCTCAAAATCAGTTTTAAAGTTCCTTTATCAGATACCAATTTTATCAAGCAATCTGAGGACATGTCAGGCAGTTTTAATATAAATCACTATATTCTCTGAAACGATACCAAATTCCCCTGGTGCATATATAAACCATTACCTTCACACCAACTTCTTATACTCTATCCATTTATAATGAAATATAATGTTTGACGGTTTGACTAATATCTAATTTTACAGAACTATCACAAAAAGAACAGAATAGCGTACCGTACGCCAGAAACTGAGCCATCGTTCTTCCCAATAGGGCTATCCAACTCAACACCAGCCCATTCACCAACAGCAAACTCTGTAGGCCCAAGATATCTGAGGATACCAATTCGACCTCCAGAAACCTGAACATGATCACCGATTTGCAAAGTATTTCGTCCAGATGCACAGGCAGGAGAGTTCACTAGAGACACCTTGGATGAACAGACACTATCGACATCTAAAATGCTGTTTTGTTTTGATTGATTGTCTGGCACTTTATCAGGAATTGTTGAACCAACCTAAAATATTAGGAGCAAAAAATACATAAACTCGACGACTTAGTAATAGCTCATAACATATGTTCAATGCAACAAAACATTTGGACAAATCCAGGATACAAAAGCACTAAAAGACAGATTTATCCATATCATAAGTTTGGTAGCTTCAGATGACTACAAATTACAGGGAACTGTACAGACCTTTAACTTACAGGCTTAGTCATATCTGCATACACGGGATTAAAAAATGTACCATAACCAGAAAGGTACACCACCTTAAGATCGGATTGCAATTATGTCATTGTAATATCCTCTAAAATAAATTGAAGGGAATTTAGACCGCTAGTTATTCACATGAATAAATCAGACGTCCAAATTGAGATTTAGGTAGTTATACTAGTTTTCGAAATTCCTACAATTGAAGAACATATGGAACTCAAAACAACTTTCAACCAATATCAAAGTCAAAATCTTTAATACGAACATCAAAGCAGTTCTACTGTACGGAGCTGAAACTTGGAGAACTACAACAAACACCATCAAGAAGGTACAAGTATTTATAAATGGTTGTCTACGCAAGATACTCAACATCCATTGGCCGGATATCATCAGCAACAGCCTTCTATGGGAGAGAACAAACCAGCTTCCAGCTGAAGAAATTAGGAAAAGGCGATGGAAATGGATAGGAAATACGTTACGCAAATCATCAAACTGCATAACGAGGCAAGCTCTGACTTGGAATCCTGAAGGGAAACGGAAAAGAGGAAGGCCAAAGAACACATTACGTCGGAAAATAAAAGCAGATATTAAAAGGATGAGCAGTGACTGGAAAGAGCTGGAAAGGATTGCAAAGGACAGGGTTGGATGGAGAATGCTGGTGAGCGGCCTATGCTCCTTCACGAGGAGTAACAGGTGTAAGTAAGTAACTAGTTTTCAAAATATAAATTACTATCATGACTAAAATAACCTTTTTGAGTCTAGCTATAAAGCTTCAGTAAATCACTTACATAACGCTCAGCTGTGGCATTCAAGTAGCGCAACACGGTGTTTTTGTGTTTTTCAGCATAAAACTACACGTCGTCATCAGACAACCATAGTTTCTTTATACGACTACTAATTTGTGCGACTTCAAGACAACAATTTTATCGATACAGCCGACAAAACAGACGTTCCATATTTTTCCTACCATTTTATAATGCTGTTATACCCAATAACTTCAGCTGCTTAGAGATCGGTTGCCGCGTTGTAAGTCCAAGGACCACGCCTAATTAAGATAAGTGACATCAACACAATAAGTACAGTCTAGAGTCTAGTATGTCTACTTTTTTACTACTGATACTACTAATTCGAAAACCTTTATATTCCCAAAATTCCGTCACTCTATGATGATTTGACGGTCACTTGAGCCTATGCGCATTTGCGCTAGGTTTTTTATTGATTATGATTGACTGACCGAGAGCCTAGTATGGAAGCCAGCACTTTTATTAGTTTTTCATGTTGTTCAAGTTGAAACACTTTAATTACGAACCACCCGTGTTTACTTATATTTAAATATGATTGTATTAACATTTCATAGCTAGTAAGATTGAGATCCATGCTTTAAACACACCCATAACTCTCACTATAAAATGATAATATAAGGATTATGTTCCGATCTATGGCTGAGCGATTACCGTCCAACAAAAGCTAACCCTGTGTTTACGACAAGCCTGGCTTTTTTGAAGACCAGACGTTAGGATGATTTGAAATCGGATAAAAAAAAGCTTTATAATAATGATTAAGAAGAAATGTACCTTCGCACGATTAAAATGTGATCATATGTGAGTTGAACTGGTCTACTACCACTCAAACAAAATGATCACGGAATAAAGATGCTAGATTAATTCAGGAGAGCAATGTAAACCATAGGGTCGATTGTTGCACAGCTCCCATGTTTGTTACGTTTGACCCAATGAAAATGGTAACTAAGTAACCTCCTGATAACTAGGGCCCTTCGAAACTTGATAGCCCCATAAGTGACAGAACACTGTGAAAGTTTGACCTTAGCCCATTTAAATGTGTAGTGAGTAGCTAAATAGTATGCAGAAATGAACTAATACTGGTTTATCGACGGATCGTAAGACGTATGGCTGTAAAGTATTTGACACCATGATCAACAAGTTGAGCCTTAAAGTCCCATCCAGGTTTTTAAAGACTCTGATTGAGTTATTGCAGAAATTTTGGCAATCTGACTTACTTTTGAGCAGGATTCCTCAGGTAGAGGGTTTGGCGCAAGTCTGACATTACCACGCTTAGAAAATATTCCATGCAGTGGACTACAAGTGAAATACGTCACACCATCGACACAACCATCATTCTTTCCACAAGGTGAAAATAAATTCACACCAATCCACACTCCACTGGCAAACTGCGTCTCTCCGATGAATTCTATTTTACCTATCCGCTGGGTCCCAGGACCAACATATACAACATCACCAACTGTAAATTCTGTTTGTTCCACATTTAAAGTCTCTTGATCACAGTGACTCATTCAGCAAACTAGATGAAAAAATGCAAAGATCCAACATCAAGGATAAACAAGTATATTAACCTTCAGGTTGATGCGTCTCTGAGGGTCGTCAGTTTCATAATAGTTCATTTCAACAAAGACTTATAGATAATTTGTCAGCCGATTTCCCCTCGCTTCAGAACTTGCACTAGACTTTACGGGGTGCTATACATCATATATATCGTATGGTTAGCCTAGTCACTTGTCTTGTCTTGTCTTCAGTAATAAGGATAGTAGGTTGGTGAACCTGTATTAATCCTGACACACTGCTTTCCAGTGAAGGTCCAGCTTCTCTTTGAAAGTATTCACTGATGGGACTGATACCATTTGTTCGGGTAAGGCGTTCCAATCATTGACTACTCGATGGGAAAAACGGGACCCCACTTTAAGTTTATTAGATCGTGGTTTATGAACCTTCTTGCTATGACCCCGGAGATTATTAGTGCTGGAGGGAGCAAAAAGATAAGACATGTTGACGCCCAAATCATAATTAAAGATACGAAATGTCAGTATAAGGTCACTTCGTGTCCTACGATACTACAAGGAGAAAAGATTTAGGCGTTTTAAACGCTCATCGTAAGGGAGTCTAGAAAGACCCTTCACTAATTTCGTTCCTACACGCTGGACACGCTCAAGGGAGTTAGTATCTTTTACCAGACACGGGCTAGCTGCTTGGATACAGTACTATAAATGTGGTCTTACATATATGGGATATAAAATTCGAAACGTTTCCTCGTCAAAAGATTTGAATGCTCGGCGAAGTGACCATAACGCACGAAAACCTTTGACAGCGGCTGCGTTGCAATGCGTAGTTGTTTTTAAGTCATGTCTTATTATTACTCCTAAGTCTTTATGCTCTTGAACGCATGGAAGAGGTTTACCCTCGAAAGTGTAACGGTAACTATTACCGTGACCGATGTGCACTAGCACACTCTTCCTAGCATTGATTTCTAAGCCCCACTCTCGAGCACATCTAACTAAATCGTCTAAGTCAGCTTGAAGATCCAGATAATCAGCCGCACTTCTTATTGTTCTCCAGATTTTTACATCATCCGCAAACAATAATGTCGACGACCTAAGTAACAGCGGTAACTCATTAACGTAGAGAAGGAATAGCAGAGGGCCTAAGATGGTGCCTTGGGGTACACCACTTTTGACCGGCTTCCAATCGGATAGCGTTCCACTGACCCTCACTCTCTGTCTGCTGTCACATAAGGAATTTCCTATCCACGCATGTACAGTACCTATTATTCCGAAGCTCGTGAGCTTCTGCAAGAGACCTTCGTGTGAAACCTTGTCAAATGCTTTGTTAAAATCTATGAATATCACATCGACAGACAGACCATTATCTAGAGCTGCTGACCAATCCTCCCTCGCAATAAGCAAGTTAGTCAACCATTAATGCTTGTTACGAAATCCGTGTTGCTCAGGAGCTAAGAGATTGTGTGAAGCTATGTGGCTTAGCAACTTAACCCGAATTATCTTTTCAAGTAACTTAACGACTATGCTAGTTAGACTGACAGGCCGGTAGTTAGATACTATCTGTCTCTGACCGTCCTTAAATATAGGACTGACTATAGTATCCTTCCAATCTCTAGGTAGTTGAGCGAGTGGAAGGGACATGTTGAAGAGTGTCGCAAGCGGTTTTGAAATAATGTCCGCAAGAGATTACAGCAACCGTGGATATAACCCGTCAGAGCCCGGTATCTTACAAGATTTGAGGTTAGTTATCAACGGAAGGACAGTTTCCTCAGTCACCTGTACAGATTCAATGGTTGGTATCTCGGTGTGAGTGGGACAAGTATTTGTTACAATAAACGTAAAGAAGACTTCGCTAAAATAGTTTGAAAAGTCTCAGCTTTTGCTCGATCTGATTCAGCTAGTAATTCTGAATTTTCGTGTGACAGTAACGGAGGAATATCATCACCACGTTTCATTCGCCGTTTAACATACAAAAACAATCGTTTCGGACAAGTACGGCTACCATATACTAACTGTCGTTCGTAAGTGGTACGGGATTTCGCTATGGTTTTCTTACAGATATTACGGAATTTTTGGTACTCACGCTTAAATGGAGCATGACCTGTCAACAAGAATAAGTCCCAGAAATGTTTCCTACGCTTTAACAGCTTCCAGGTTTCCTTGTTAATCCATGGAGGGCAGTGTGATAGCTTACGTGCAGACCATGGGATAAACGGCGACGTTACGGACTCGAACGTGGCCTTAAACTTATTCCATTCGTCTTCGATCGATCTATCCGCGTCGACCGACCAATCAGTCGAGATTACACAGTCTCTGATTGCCGGAATATTGACTCGCCAGATATTGGGACGGGGTGGAGCAGATACGAATTGAATACCATGTGTCCTAAATTTAAAGTGAATTACGTGATCAGCGTTCACTAGTAGGGGAAGGTGCTGAATATCTGTTATAACGTGAAAAATATTTGCTGCGGATTAAGGGTAGAGAATTATTGATCGGACCAAAGACGCACAAACACGTAGAACGACCTAGGGTTCTGATTGGTCTCGCTTCCCTGTCTAGCCCAGCCAGATGAGTCCAGAACGCAAGCCACAGCCTTGGATATATGAATCATTATATTTCAAACATACTTTGTTTATATACCAGTCAAGCAGACCACAACGTACCATAAAATAGAAAATAACATTTTACAATAATGGCCAGTAGGAAAATGACACGTTAAACAAATATTGACCAATAAGATTATACCATTCCATGCCCAAGGATAGCATTAGGCTTAACAGGAGAATTTTTGGGATATTTTCCTGAATATCCCAACAATATCAAAGACATCCTCACAGTGGTGGGTGAGGGCGAGGCCCAGCAGTGACGGATCATGTTGCAAATCAATATGTGTCGGTTTTGTGATACATCGTACAAGTGCACACTGAATAACAGTAGATAATAGGTCGCTATCGAAACCACTACCTGGAGCTGTAAGCTCTATCCAGTTGATATGCGGTGCGTTGAAGTCCCCAATGATGAGACAACATTCTACCATACTCCAAGAACAGATGTGCCTTAGGATAAAGTCGTCAGCAAGACAAGACGGACTACGGTATATTCCTCCTATAGTCACTAACCCATTTCTAGATTAAATCTTACAACATGCAACCTCACATGTGCCACTGATATGAGCCTCCGATATGGTTGATTGTATACGAAAGTGATCCCTAACGTATAATATTGTACCTCCCCCCTTGCGACTTGAAACTCTATCACTTCTAATACAGATGTAGCCTGCAATGATGGGAGAATAGTCTATATCTACTGTGAACCAAGTTTCTGTAACAACGACTATATCGGGACATAATTCTTCCATCATCAGACTTAGCTCAGACGTTTTGTTTCTAAGACTACGGGCGTTCGTGTAGCACACACTTAAGGTGTTTTGATAATCATTCGTTCTACCCATACAGGCCTCGGAAGCATTGGCTTCCAAGACCTGACCACCCGAAAACCCTTAATGGTAAAGTTATTTTCGCCATTTAATTTGCGAGTCTTCAACTCCATAAGAGCATTCTTCCACTTCATTCGATCCTCAAGCGGCCAATCTGGTCGAATACGGATATTTGAGTCACGAGGTTTTGGTGCGTTTTTCAATAGTATGTCTTTTTCTTCGAAACTCCCGAGAACCAGCTCCAGGATTCTTCTTGGTTGGGTCTCGCCTCCAACCCATTTACCAAGTCGTATTACCTTTGTAATATGTACCCCTGAAACCTCTTCAGGTAGTACATTTCTTACCACAGACTCCACTAACCGCAGGTCATCTGCATGTCTTCTAGCATGGTCGTTATCTTTCGACTCCTCTAGATTCCAAGTAATTAAACTAGGAAGGGGTTTAGCTTCCTTTGAAATAGTGTTAACAGCTTTCGACCGTGACGATAGATCCTGCATATTAACTACTGGTATCTTATGGTTAGGTTTTATTGTAACAGAGTCCTGGGAGTGACTCACAACAGTTTTAGACAAAGCTTTACTTTGAAGCTTTGGTGGATTGGTCTGAGAGTCCACCAAGGACTTATTAGGTAAACAGTCATTAGTTTTAGCTGTCTTTCCTACTCTTCTGCATCTTCGCGTAATCCGTTTTACATCAGTCGAAACATCTACATTAGAACAACTCGGGACGGTAGTTATCTTATCTGGATCACCAGTCGCAGTGGTAGCAATATGGCCACCAACGTTTAATGAGGTGTCACTCACTGATCGTTCCGGGGAAGAACGTTGCACAGGCAGATGTCTAGCTTGCGCCGTGACAGCACTTACGACACTAACGCAATCTTTGCCACCAGTACCAATGTAAGCAGTACGGCCCTCATCGACCTTTTGATTAGCCAACATCAGGAGGCTAACTGCTTCCTGGATGAGTGGTGGAGTTACTGACCAGCAAGCATTGATGGTGAGGGCGATAACTTCAATCCACCCGGGTTTGTGGGGACAGAACATTTTGTATGTATCAGAATAAGACAGTCAATCTAAGTTATAGATTGTCTTCCTACGCTCACCACTCAGACTCATGTTTCCAATAATATGCTGGATTAGCTATTCTACTAAGACAACCTATAACATGCTAACTCGGACTTTTACACTAGGATTGCGTGGCTGACATCGGATGGACAAAAAAATAAAAGAAAAAAGACAATAAAAGATATAGTCACTAGTATTCTTAACACTTCACCCTCTATATACACACCCTTCTAATAAACCGCTTCGCTTGTACCAACTTTGACTTCCCTTCCTTCATGTGAGCTTACTCCAACTTGTTAAACATCATAACTCGTTGTTCTTTATTAGTACATTCTCTAATATGGAGCTTCTGACTTCACTTCACTCTAACAAGACATTATATGAATTTATTCTAATTTATTATACCTCTGTCCGTTCTACTACACAATGTTAAGCAACCTTCGGCGCTCATATACAAGTGCCTTGCTGCTCTTCTGTTTCTCTTTTTTTTCTCC